GCCTCCGACAATACGTCTTATGTTGGTGCACACAATAAAATTACTGAAATAACTCTTTGTTCCTTTTTCAAGAACGTGTATGTTTCATTATTGATGTGTTCGCTATTATGTACCCCACTGATAGTACTACGGGTCACTGCTATCCTCCCATAGCAGCCAGTTTCTGGCAGGCTTCTAGCATAGCCCTAGGTATCAGTTTGTATTGTAGCATGGGGGAAGAACTTTAAAACCACTGGGTGCTAGAATAATACAAAGTGTTATCAGTTATCCTAGTAGGAATAGAAAGTAAACTTTGGGTTTCTTACTTTCTAGACAGTGAAGGTGCTAATGGCAGTGTTATGACAGTTCCTTTAAACTCCAGGCAAACAGGCAGTGCCCTCCCATTTCAGTGCATGCAAGGAAGCAGCATCCCTCAGGTCAGTATCAGGTGGGCAATACAGGTAAGCAGCTCTCAATAAGGCTCTAAGTGTTTTGCTAAGGTGAACGGCTGATCCCAGAAAAGGTTTTTGAACCTTCTTTCTTTGAGGGAGGGCTATGATCACCACAAAGGAGAACAGGGCTCCTTTCCCTTAAAGTTACGTTTTGAGGCAGCAAAAGCAATACAGCGGGGGCATCTGCGGCCCTGCATGCTGCTTCTGCCTCTGAAACCATTTTCTGTTGGACTATCAACACTCATAATTACCAGGGGAAAAAAAAAAGTTTCTCACAAGTTTATTTAAAGAAATTCCATGCTGTACAATCTGTGCTGTATAAGACAGGCTTCCTAATTTAATAAAAAAAAAATACACAACAGCAGCCAGGCAGGAGACATCCCTTGCTGGCAGCTTTTGCCTTGGCATGGTTTTGGCCTTGGAAAAGCAGTGCCTGGACAGGTACGATACGTCTGTTACACGGGGAACGTGTCCAGTGCTACCTCTCCTGGCGCCAAACTTTTCGGCTGGGGGGTTTGTCCTGGGCCCTCCCTGTTCTCCAGGGACCTGGACACAACTACGTGGGCACCTAGAGCCAAACCTGGCGGTGGCAGCACCGCTGCTGAGAGCTGCAGCTACCGCGGCTCCACCTTTCCACAAGGCTCTCAGCTTGGCCTCTGTTGTGCTCTTTTCCTCATCACCTTTTTTTCTTCTTTTCCCCCGACTCAGCTCTAAATTGATGCCTGAAAAAGAAAGGATAGATATAAGAATGCAACAGCCTTTTCCAAGTGGTAACAAAAGCTGCAGTGCCTACCAAGTAGCAGTGCTTGGCAAAGCATTTTAGAACAGAAGTGTTCCTCAGTGAGTTCTTTCACTGAGCTGCTTCCTAGCAGTCTTCTCAGCTAGTTGACAAAGACTTTGAGCGGACCGCAAGCTGCGGGCAGGACAAGCCTCTGCCTAGGTGCCACTGCACGGATCTGTGGCATCCGCACGCCCTGAGCTCAGCTCACCTGGACTGCCACCTCCGGCCCTGGTTCCACACCCGCCCGAAGGAAGGGAGCCAGCCGGCGCCCGTCTGAGAGCTATGGTCAAAGTTGGCACCGACACGGTCCGCTGGGAGCTTCTTCAGTTTCTGCTTCTCCTCTGAAAGTAGATTTGTCTTTAGTGAAGGTTTGTCAGCCAAAATGCTTTTGCTGCTCTTCTGCAGTACTGCAGTGAGCTTCAAGTTATTGGCCACATCAAGAAGCCACTCACTCTGTTTGAGAAATTCCTCATACGATGGTCCAATTTGCTGTTGACTTCCTATCTCCTCCTCTTCCTCGATCAGCCAGGGAGGTTTGGCTCCTAGAAATCATAGGGAAACTGCATACACTGACGTGGGGAAATACATCCCCTTGCCCTATAACTGCAGCCCACGCTGCCAAGCAGTCTGCTCTGAGGTTCATAAAGAAAGCAGCAACAGAGTCAAGCAGTAGGAGAAATTACCTGTGTGAACATTTCCCTTCCCTTCTGTTTCCTGTTAGCAGAAACACAAGGCACCTATTAGAAACTGATGTTTTAAGAATGATATAAAGTCTGTTCTAGTATGTGCGTGACAAAAGATTGTGATACATGGAAGAGGAGGAGAAAAATCAGGCTTCCAAGAGTGCAAATTCCACTATCAAATATCGAGTATTTGCACAAAGGCCCAGGGGCATTTCCCTACTTTGCTTACGAAGTGTTTTGCACGGAGTTTTTAAGAATGTGTGTGGGGGAGACTCTGCTTTTCATGGCATGGCCAAAACTCTGTGGTAGTTACTTGACTGAATCGGCCAAACTGCCCTTCTTTTGCAGCAACTGGCATTCAGCAAGTCTTGTTTTGCTTGGTAGCGTGTCAATGTCTTTGGCTTCTTTATTCAAATAACCACATTCATTAGCAAAGCTAGGTAAGGACCATCCCTACCTGGTGGCCAATGAAGGTCAAAGGGTGGCCTGGTTCCATCCAGTTCAGATCAGGTACCTCCTGCATCCCACTGGGGCCCGGCTGCTCCGCATCGCGAGCGCTGTCCCTTGGAATACAGAGGCAAAAGGCAGCCGGAGAGGTGAGGACACCCGAGAGCTCGGCAAGGCCCTCATTGCCCGGAAGCTTCAAGAGCAGGGGTGAAGCTTGTGCCAGGGGCAGCAGCGTGCGTGTGGCGGGGCGCAGGAGGAGCAGCGATGTGCTCTGCCCGTGCTGGTATTGCTGATACGGTATCGCTGCGGTGGCTCTTTAGGGCTGCTGGGGCTTAGCTGGGTGTGCAGCGGTGACAGCGTCATCCCGCGGCGGGGGAGCCGCCTTTGGCCCAGGACAGTTTGGTTGTGAGGGCTCGAGTGACTGAACGATCTGGTGATGACGCCGTTGTCCCCTTTAGCAGCAGAGCTGTGCGCAGGTGGCAGCACCTCTTACCTTTCCTGCGGTCCAGCGCAGCCGTCGCGAGCGGCTCCGTCGGGAAGCGGCGCCTCTGCCTGAGGTCGATTCAGGAAAAAGGCGCCGTGGCCCCGGTGCGCCCCGGCCCCCTCCCGCCCCGCGGCCGCCCCCGGGGCTGGATACGGCTCCGCGGCGGGCCCG